AAACCTGAGTAAACACTCAATGCTCTAAGGACGAGTTATCTTCAATTTAATTCTTTGTTGATGCAAAAGTTGTTTATTTATAAAAATACATGAATTTTTTAATTAGCATATAATATTATTTTATGTCAATTTTCTTCAAGTAAATCGTGATATTTTTTTAAAACGTGTCTTAATATCCAATAGATTTATATTAAAACAAAATTGTAGCTAATTCTTATAATAAAATATTTTAACATACAGAAGAACAAACCTTCAACAAATTATATATTATAAGAGTAATAATTAAATTAAAAAATTAAATTCCTATGCTTCCAAAAAATATAATCGCTTTAATCTATATTTATAAATAAATCTTATAATATTAAAAAAGCTTCTTTATCTTTATTGATCTTTAAAAAAAATATCTTTAATCTTACTAATATAACTTAAAATAAACATACTTTGTAAAAAAATCTTTTCAATATCATATACATATTTTTTTATCTTCTATATATAATATCTTTCCTAAAAAAGTTATGTGTATTAACCAATTTATCTAATATATTCAAAATCATAGAAGTTCAAGAGTTTTTAAATTTTAAAAAGATTGAATAATGTCAAAAGAAATATCTAATGTTTTATTTATTATGATTACATCAAACTATTAAAATTATTTAACACTATTTCTAATGCTTTAAATTTATCTATTCATGACTTTAATAAATATTTTAAAAATTAATTTTATAAATATTATATTTTTTATTTAAAATATATGTAATACATATCGAAGTATTATAGTGTTTTAATATTATGGTGTTTAAACACTCTCATAAAATATTCACATAATGCATTTTGATTTTTAAAGATTTTTTTATGATTATTTTTAATTATAAGATATTAAATATTGCAATATTAGAAGGTAGAAAACACATATTTTTAGTGATAAGTTGATAGTATCTAGCCTCATGGTGTCTATTATGATTAAACATTGTTATGTTTAAAGAGGATTTTATTAAAAGTTAAAGTTTCATTTCATAATTTTCTTTTTTCTTGTTACATCAATATTTTGTAATATGTTTTGAATAATTACTGTAAAAATTATGTTTTTATTTTTTTAGTGATTTCTTTGAGCATTAGTAATTTTAACCAAGTTGCATCATTTTGCATTAGATCATCTTATTTTTTTGGTTTTGAGTATTAAATATTTTTATTGGAGAAATATGATGTGTGTGTGTGTGTGTGTGTATATATATATATATATATATATGTGTGTGTGTGTCCTTTTAGATAGTTAAGAAAAATATTTAAAATATATATTTTTCACATTTTCTATTATATTTTATATTTTTATATTAATTTTTTTTTCAGAAATGTTTTAATAATATAGAAGTTTTAGAAGAAAAAAACTGAGTTTGGAACTATGTGAATCTTTTTACTATTACTGATAAGATATTTATAATTCAAAAAGTTCAATCAATTGTATCTATTATAAAAAAATATTAATTTATATTTTTTTTAAATACAAAACGTAGTTAGAACTATCATTTTACATTAAATTAAATTTTCGTTCAAAATATGTCTAAAGTGTTAAGAGACAAATAGTTTTTATTTTTAAATTTCATGAAATATTGCTTTAGTCATAATTTTTTACAAATACTAAAACTGGTACATGCAAGTAAATTTAATTATGATAAGAACACCATGATGTTTAAAGATATCAAATCAAAGGTGGTAATTTTTTGTTTTTTAATGAAAAATATTAATTAAGAATCAAAGTAGTCTAATTGCTACATAATCAAAGAATAAAATTTTCAATTAATGTTAAATAAATGTATATATGTAACAAAAAATTTACAAATGCATAGACAAAAAATAAATGAATAATTAAATAAATAAATATCAATAAGTACAAGAATAAATTATCAAATTACAAACAACATTAAAATGCAAGATAAAAAAAAACTATACAATATTTGGATTGTTCCAAAACATCTTTTAGTAATACCAAACTATGTTTCTGTTATGACTTCTTGTTTATACTATTTCAACTAGGTTCGAAAGGTAATTTATAAAAAATGTCAAACATTATACAATACTTTAAAAGTCTTAAGATTTTTTTATAGAATTTTTCAAAAGGATACAAAGCTATAGATGTGGAGAGCTATTAAAGCTCTTTAAGTATTAAATAATATTTTCAATAGTTCTTACAAATTTCTATAGAAAAGACTTCAAATATATAATAAATTTAATCCTACTTTAAAAAAAATTAAATACATTTGAGGTCATTATTTATTTAATTATCATGATAAAACTCAGATTTTAGTATTTAAATGTATTAAATTTCTTAGCATGCTGTTTATAAAAATGTTATACATATATAAATATAAATATATATTTTATTACATATCTTATATATATATATATATATATATATATATATATTTATATACATATATTTAATCCATAAGGATGCAACACATTTAGTAAAAAATCGATCTAACTTATCAAATTCATCCCTCTATAATCATTAATTTATGAATCACAATTTACAACATAAATCCATATAATTGTTTTTAGAATCCAATATTTTAATGCATGACTTAGAGATAAGAAATCAGACAATGAAGCCTTGTTTTACATAAAAATAATTATAATATCTGTTATTGAATACAAAGAAGCTAGAGAGCCTTGAATCAATATTAAAATTTAAAATATGTATAGATGAAACTATAAACCACTTTAGTCCTACATCCATATTCATTGGGTAACAAGAATGTTATGTAGAAGATACTTAAAGGTTTTGAGGTTTGCAAAATAAACACTTAAGTTATAAACACTTTCAAGGTTTTTGCTTTTAATTTTTTTAAAAATATACTAAAAATGAATTAATATAAATATAGAAAATATATTAATTTAATAGACAATTAAATAATAATAAAATAAATAAAAATATTTATTAGATATTTATATATAATATTATTTACTTATATTTACATCCATTTATTTAATTTGTACATATAATTATAGCAATTTCATTGTAAAAATAAAGCATATTTTATTTTAAAAATAAATTTAGCTATTACATTACATTATTAACTAAAATAATATTTAATATTAAAACTATATATACTTCTATTATTTATCAAAAATATTCTACTATGAATCTATTTTTATAAATTTATTATTAAATTTAGAGATATAATATTTAAAACTCATATAAATAATTCATAATATATATATATATATATATATATATGCATATTTAAATGGATTTTTTATATCTAAATATATAATAATATGAAATTTTATGTTATCGAATTTGCAAATAATTCTATATAATAAAAAAATGATTCAATCCAGTACTAAATTATAGTATATAAAAGCCACTTTTTTATACAAAATAAAAATTGAACTAAAAATTATTCAAGTACATTTTTAAGTTTTACAAGGTGGATATTTAATAACTTCAATTAATAGATAAAATTAATTTTATAAAGCTGAAAAGATATTTAATAACTTCAATTAATAAATTAAATTAATTTTATAAAGCTGAAAAGATATTTAATTTTATATATGAAACAAATTAAGATTAATCATATATATATATATATATAACAGACATTTAAATAACAAAAAAAAAAGAAAAAAAAAATGTGTCTTATTGTTGTAGGACATAAGATATGATTGAGAGTATTTATAAAATATGATTTGAGTTGTAAGTATTTTGGTTATATTTAAAAATCAAACTATGATCTAATAAACTTAAATTTTAAGAAATAAATATAAATCGGATGCCTTTGAGTAGAATAGTTACAAATGTGCCTTTTATCTGTAAAAAGGTTAAAATAAAAATTTGCATCTATAATTTTTTTTTATGCAATAATTTTTTTCAATAATATGTTTTAATGATCAACAATTGTAAATATGGTGGTTGAGAGTTACCTGTTTATTCAATTACAATATCTAATCTGTTCTACCATCTAACGCCAAAGTTAAATGAACTTAATGAAGGAGACCTTGTACAGAAATTCCCTGCCAATAGATAAATGCATTTACTGAAAGGAAAGTATGTTAAAAACATAGTTTTGCTAGTGTTAAGATTATAGAATGCCTCTGGGAAGAATAAACCAAAACATAACTTTTTTGTGGTTCATGTTGCAGCAAAGAATATCTTCACATGTTGCAGCAAAGAATATCTTCACATGTTGCAAAGAATCCAGAAAGCAAGATGAATGTCCTCACTTGGGAACTAAATCAGATCTGACACTATATCCAAAACAGGAAAGTCCAAAAAAGTACGTTTTTTTCCATCGAATCAGTAAAATAAGTAGTTTATTTAGAATAATTAACTAATCTGAACTGGAATTCCACATTTCCTTCGTTGGATATGTGCATGGAAAGTCCATCAGAGGCCAGAAGCTGCTCAGTAGGCGTGTTTCTGCGAAGAGGAATATAATAAAAACCAAAGAATGAAAGGCGCTCGTTACAAGGGGAACGTCCACTTTCCCAACCCAGTGCCACGCTGGCACAGATAGAATCCGACGTGGCACACATGGGGTTAATGAGTGTGATTGCTCGGGAACGAAAGAGTGCGTGACCTGGCACGTTCCTGGGTGGAGGCTGCCCGAGCCAGCGGGCAGAGGAGAAGTCAACTTAGGGCACAAGGCTCCGTCACCTCCGACGACGAAAAACGTCACGCGACGTCTGCCGAAAGCCGTCCCGACGTTAGCGAGAACATCGTCGCGCGGGGGGGCGAACTCTTTCCGTCCGTTGGACTCTGAGCCGCACGAGCCACATCCGTCGGATGGTCGTCCCGAATTGGTAGAGCATTTCTGTCTCTCCCCGCGCAGCAAGACCTCGGAAGGACTCCCCTGCGCGTTCAAACGGGGAGCGTGTCCATCCAGGCCGGCATCGTCTTCTCCTTTTGCCTTTCCCCAAGTCCACAGTGCGCGGAATGGAGGTTTTTCAGGCACCCTCGATATTGTGTTAGGGTTTCTGTGAATTGTATCCTGCTGTGTGGTGTGGTGTGGCGTTGGTGTGGAGGGATGATCCGGAGCCATCGGAATTTATCAACTCAGATTGGCTGTGAAGCTAGGCTTTGGATGTTGTGGGGATAGTTGGAATTTTTGCAGACCGTGGAGGTTGATGAGTTTTCGGAATTGATTTGTGGTTTGTAGCAATCCGTGTCTACGTTTGCGCAAGTTTTTGAGGTTAGGTTCGTCCAGGGAGTGGTATTTGTACGTGTTGATATTTGTGTTATATTTTGTTTTTGGTTTTGTTTTTGTGAAGGGGAAGGGGAGAGGTTAGGGTATGTTAGGGTGGTGGGGGTGTTGTGGGTTTGTGCTGTTTTAGGGGTTGTTTATTTGGTGATTTTCTGGCGGATGTAATCCGGATCGCATGGTGAGTAAGCGGGGCGGAGTAGGAAGTGATCGGGACAGTGAGTTTTGAGCGTTTGCAATTGGGTGGTTTGGAGCCAGAGGACTGGATGTAAGTGATCGAGGAGTGTCAGTGTCTTGCGCGTGGAATTGGTACTGTAGAGTAGATTGTATTCTTTTCTTCCTCATTTCTTGAAAATTTTTTTTTGATTTGTTCTACTTTTAATCTAATACATGAAGGTGATGTATCATTCGCAGGAGCTGATCCGGAAGGGAAGTGTCCATCGGCATTATAGAAACAATTGAGATACTCTGAGATTAGTAAGATGCGGAAACGTGAAAGGGAGAATCCGTGTTTTGTATGTGGGCATTACCACAAGTTCGAAGACGGAGAAGTGTGTGGTATCTGTGGCCATCGCCTGCAAGAGGCCACAGAGAAAGGCCCTCAGCAAAGTGCATTTTCCACTGAAATTCTACCACAGTTTTTGTATCTGGGTAGCTACGACAATGCATCGCGTGCAGAACTCTTGAAAGCTCAAAATATCACTCGGATCCTCAATGTACGTGCCCCTCTTCATTTCATCTTTGCAACCGTTGATTCTCAAAAATCGATATCCCCTCGTAGAATAGTATTACCATCCCATGGGATGTTGACGGTTTTTTGCTAACATTTTTTTTTTTTCACTTTCAATATTTTAGAAAGAAATTACTGAATAAGAGGGGTTTTATGAGAAGTATGTTCTGTCTAATTGCTTGAGCACCACTAAAACATTTCTCGCTTGTATCTACAGGCTTGATAATAATGCTTTTATGCCGCTTATCAGTATGAATAATTTGTCTCTCAGTTAGAGTACTCGTACACAGTATCATTAACATGAATTCGATTGTACTCGTGCTTTTTGGGCTGTAATCCAAAGACTGACCAGGGGTTTAATATTCACCACTGAATCGGTTTAGTCTCCTTAGACTGGGCGATTTCAACAAGATACACACTTTGAGCTTGTTGCGTCATCTTCACAGCGAGCCTTCCATCTGATTATCTGTGATGTCTCATTACATGCGCTGTCCAACGAACATGGATGTACAGCACTTGTTTAAATTACCCAATTTGCTTCTTGCAGACTGTTCCAACATGCCAGAATCTTTACAAGAACTCTTTTACGTATCACTCTCTCAAGGAAGAAAAGACCATACCATTTGCGGAATGTTTAGAATTTATTGGTAAGCATCAGAATTCTATTTCAACCAGGAGAGCTGCCGAACTTAGGACTATGTGTCTGGGAAGCCTTTATGGTGCTGCGTATTAAGGTTTGAATTAGCATGCCAATTTCTCACAATGTCGTACCATATGTTCTGCTCATTACAGAACAAGCTAGGGTGGACAAAGCTCGAGTGTTGGTGCATTGCATGTCAGGTCAAAACAGGTACGGTTTTTTGTCTTGCGCTTTTCAGAATAATTGAGGGTTTACAGTTTGCTGTGGATTGCATTTGAAGAGGTAATAAAAGATGCTTTAACCATAGCGTTTTAGCATCGGCCAATTCCCAGCGCTCATTTCTAGGTTTTTTAGCCTACCAATCTACTTCTGATTTTCATTGTGAAAACTATTGAGTTGAGGAAGAAGACGCTAATTATTCACGAATACAAAATAAGGTGGTTCAGTTGACTTGAGTGTCAACTTACCTTATTATCAACTTACCTTAAGTGTCCTTCAAGAGAGGCATCGGAACGTTGATACGTTAAGTGGAACATGTTGAAGTTACCTCCATGAACAAACAGATACGATAGTTTTCGTGTACATTGTGTTGGTGGTGTGGAAATGCAAGGACACCGGATGAATTTATGGGAATACGTGTGTTTATTTTTATTTATGAACAAAAACATAAAAATAACTTCAATGTAATATGTCACGTTCCTGCATCATTTATACTGGAGTTTAACATGAATATTTTAAGTCTAGTTCTACGAGTTGCATTTAGGATACTCATCGGCTTTGAAAAACGTACTAACTGCAATAATAATCTCACAGATCTCCTGCTGTAGTTATCGCTTATCTGATGAAACACAAACAATGGAGATTGCCTCAAGCATATCAGTGGGTGAAGGATCGAAGACCGTCTATAAACCTTAGTGAAGGTATGTTGCTATAATCCAGCTTAGGCGGACTCTATTCTTGTTTTTAAGTTTCTCGTCAAAAAGATAAAGCTGGGTATCTCTATTTGGGTACTTGTTCCTCAAGTTGAAGCGAGCGAATAAACTGACAGTGGTTATGGGAGATAGGAATTTTATCTGCATCCCACTTTGTTAACCTGATATGTTGCTGTGCTGCTTGTGGCCTTTAATGCATTAAGGGTATTCCGTTGGTCCATTTGTCTTTACTAAAAGACCTAATGGATTTCCAAGGATAGTATGTAATATGGTTCAGTCAGCTAAGTTACGAAACCAGAGTTTCATCGCGACACCTCCATTATCGGTACCGCCGTCGGTAAAGTGATCTTTTCCAAACTGATCAGGTTGTGAATGCTTTGTGCAGCTGTGGCGCAACAACTTCAACAATTTGAGATTGAAGTATTTGGGAATAATGTGCCGACCACTCCAATATACAATACACCCGCTGGCGTCACTTTTGGGTTTGGTTACCCAACACCTGTACCAGAACCAATTGTTCCAACTTTTACACCGCAACCAATGGCCAATCCGCTTGGTCAGGCACCAGTGTTTGGTTCCGTCGGCGTGCCCATAATGCCGAGTTCTAATTTTGTGTTCGGAGCAGTCAGACATGAACCAAGAGCGGCAATGGATCAGAGTATGGATGGCTCTTGACGCTATTTTTGCTCGCACACTTGAACGGCCCTTGCCTCGTATAGATTGTATAATTTGAAATAGCACTCATTTGTCTCTGTGCAATTTGTCTCTGTGCACCTCAAAGATTGCATCTTCTTTTTCTTCTCCTCTTCTGAATGAGATTGGCAGGTACCTGATACGTGGTGGATACGATATTATGCTCGAGCCTTGTCTCTTCTCAAGGCACTAGTACAATTGTCTTTCGAAACTGAGAATTCGTGTAACACACTTTCACTTGACTCGAGGAAATGTTACGACGTCTTCTGTTGTATTATGCGAAGAAATTTGTGGTTATATGCCAGTTTCATCTGCTGTCTCTTTTGGAATTGTTGATTTTCTCACTTACTCTCTCCCTAATGTTGTGCGACCCAGTGCAGGCTATGCAGTGACTAGATGATGTATATTAGGTTTGCTCTGTGACTTCTTGCGTGACCAGGGACTTAAAAGGTAGTCTGAGCCATTGTATTTGTGCGGGTGGCACTTTCCCAACCTTACTGAATGACTTGCTGTGCATTAGAATGACACCTAGAGAGCACGCTTTGGCAATGACATGAGAGATGAAAAAGCTTCCTTGTTTCGCCAGAACTGACTTCCCTCAAAAAGACATCCACACTGTTCAACCCCGGCGTGTGCACTCAATGGACTTCATTATTGGAACGGTAGGGGATTATTTCGATATCGATTGTTCTAGATCTGGCCACTCAGCAGTTGTGGCAGGTCTCAGCAATGTGTTGCTCTCACCTCACGACTTCTCATCAAATCCGGAATCTTTGCCCAGTGAGCTTTCCAAGGTGGGAACCGCCCAGAGTTATCCTCGTCCAATTTGAGGCCAACTGCAGATGTTTCACCAAAAACTTCTGTTGCACCCAACTGTAATCTGTACTCCACTGCAGACTTCCTTGATCCGAAGTTGGCTCATCATCTAGAAAATGTCCACGAAGCCCTCCCCATGCATTTAGCAGACTCACATTTGTTCACCACGCTTTAAATCAACTCCCATTTTTAGACTGAAGCTGAATCGAAGGCCAATCACCATAAGGGGGGCAGTGACTACTTTGATGTCGCTGGAATTAAATGAGTCATTTAAAAAAATGTGATCAAATCAATTGCAATTAGTTTCAGGCTGAGTGAATTTAACCCAGTAATGAGATTTTTGCCCCGCTTCTACTGTCAGTGTGGAATATGGCCATGAACACGGGCGATTTATTAAATTTCCACAGAAAGTACACGGTCAACACTGACCCGCGCTCATACACACACACACACAGCATGCATTGTCAAAATCTGTTCATTTCAATCAAGTGAATGAATGAACGTTGGGGAGGAAGAATAAATATCTCCTCCAAACTTGCCTGGTTGGCAATGTACCCTTTTTTTCTTTGAAAACCTACAACCTCACTCACTCACAAACCAGGGGGAATGAAAAAGAACCCAATTCATAGTTGATGAAATATCCACAATATTTCCTTCATGCTCTGGCAAGGTGGGGGTTTGGGCGGGGATGGTCCCAGCCCAGCCTCTTCCTCTTTGCCATGAAATCTGACACAACCTGGCCTCTGTCTCCACATGCATTGGCCAAACTTTCCCCAAAGCTATGGCTTAAGTAAGCTTGATGCTAAAGCCATGGCTAAGCCATGCACACAAAAAAAAATAAGGGACCTAGGCCACATCACACCCTAGTTCCCCTTCCTCTTGTTCATGCACAGTGAGTGAGGATGCTGGAGCTCTCACAAATGTCCAAAAGCCTTCATATGATTCACATTCAAATCAAATCCTGGTTTTGTCTATTAGCACGGCTGCAATATCTGCTGCCACTAACTTAGGAAGAGGCACCTCTTCTGACTTGCATCATAGCCTTGCTATTCTGACTGCCTCCATTATGGACCTCCAGCTGGGCTGGGCTGGGCTGGGCCAGGCACATCATCCCATTCTCCCTTGACACCCATTTTTAAACTCTCATCTTTGATTTCTACATGTTTGTGTAACAACCAAAAACTTTGCCAAATGCTGGTGTGAAATATTATTATTAACTTTGATCCATTATGCCATGGAAATAATGGTAGTGTTTCTCTTACGATGACCCACCTAAGCATGATATGAAATGGAGGCAGGCATGCCATTAAATAATGTTAGATATTGAACATGTGTGTTCATTGTGGATGGGTTTGTGGGGCTGTGGTCATCAGGAATAGAAGATGGGTACCAGCTTGCTCTTTGACTAGGAACTGCATATCAAATGCTTGCTCCTGTTTAATATTAGCTGGTTGAGCTCAGAGAAGTTAAGATCAAGTTTTTGACAAACTTTGTCAGAGTTGTTAAATTTAATGATAGTATTTTTTATTATTAGTAGGGTGGTCAGAAAATTGTTAATTGAGTCAAAATTGTCTTCTTGACTATATGTGTGTGTGTGTCTTTATATATATTCACATATATATTAATCTGATTTCTACATTTTCCTCAATGCTGATTTAGCAATGTGAGTGTATCTTGTACCATGCAGAGAGCATGCATAGTAACACTTGCAAAATAAATTAGATCAATAGTTGTAACAGCATCTACATGTTTGGAGCATAAATAACAGGAAACTTATTATGGTTCTTAATATTCATGGTACCTGTTTTTCAGTAAGTGATGTCAGAGACTTGATTAACAAACTAAAAAACAAATTTCTTTTACTATTGCTAATATTTGAAAACTATGTATGATACAAAGTCATCACATGCATTACACTTGGAGACATAAACAAGAACAAATTTTATATGAAGATATAAACTGTTGAAGTAATGACAACCTAAAATATGCCGATTTTTTACTAAAAAGGTAAAACTTTAAAAGAAACAGACACTGAGTTACACAGAACTTCACAGCCAGTGAAATATTCAAAGGTGGAACTGAATTGTGCAAATGGGGTAAATCATAAAATGTATTGTAAAATGGGTTTAGTGTACAATTACAATACGTTTTATGATTTACAAATCCAAAGTTAATTGAAAAATTATGTTAATGTGATGGAAACCATAACCAAAAATCAATACACACATATTAAAAACACATCTTTGCAAGTCCAGCATTGTTTTCTATTTATGAACATTTGTTAACATTAGAAAAAAAAGAAAAAAAGAAAACAAACAAACAAACAGACACTTACACACTGTTAAAAACATTGCTAATCATGTTCTAAGCAACACAGCTTTCTATAATATATGGTCAAATTTTAATCATATGAACATACACAAACATTTATAACTGTTTTTTGTACTGGAAAGAAACTCAATATATTATATACTTATGGCAATCATATCATCACATACACAAGTCAAATAAAGAATAAGATATTATATCATTATTTTAAATCCATTTGTTTGTATGTATCTGTATACATATCCTGTTGATATCCTACCCAGAATTCAGCAATGTTGCAAAGTACAAAGTATCAAATTACTAACTCAGTTGCTGAATACTAGAGTAAAATAGTTGTTTAATACAATAAATTGATGTGAGAGTATTTTCTTAATAAAATGAAAAAGTATATTGAAAAACACATTTTTATATTTTTAGTATTTTATCGACATGCTAAAAATAGAGGTATTTTTGTTATTATCATTAATTTTTTGATTGGATATACAATGAAATTCTATTGACTTTTGATTTATATATAACCATCAATGGTTGAGATTTACTTTTATATTTATTATTTTGGCAATTATGCCGTGTATAAATACATATGCATGCACATTCTATAGGAGTTATTATTATTATTTTAAAAAAATTCGATTCCTAGTAGCAAAATATTATTGTGAATGTTAAGTATGCATGCCATTTTTATTTTTATTTTCATTGGATTTTTGTGAACACTATACAATAAGATATTTTTTTAAAATTATTTTAAAATGCAGGAATCTAAACTTGGTAAGACACTTCCAAGATTTTGGTTTACAAACTTGGTTCATGCAGCAAGTACTATGAGTGGGCAACTATCACTACCACATGCACTTGAAAAAATAACCACATTGGCATGCATGAAAAAGTATTAGAACAGCTCACAACCTTGAAACATTTGTCCCTCTCATGAATGCACATATATTAAAAATGAGTTTCAATCTCAAACCCAGATCACAAGATACGATTTTGTATTGTTCTTCTACCAAAAATATCTATTATCTATCCAAAAAAGAGTCTCACCCACACAAACATTCAGAATGTCCAGGAAAAGCAACGCTGGACACCACACCCAGAAGGGTCCCATCTTTAGCGTCCTCATCAACACTGTCCACGCTATCTATACCGTGGGGGTATAGAGCATAAGCATTACTCGAGCAGGGTAATAAAACTCTTCAAATCACCCTGTATAATAGGCCTCTATACCTGGGCTCCTCTCTACAGTTTGGTCAGAAGGGTCTTTCACCAAATTTAATATTCCCTCTCCCCCCCCCCCAATTATTTTAAACCACCGCATTAGCACACCACCACTGCTAGCTCCACACGTTGGATAGAGCTGCATGGATGACGGATGAATTTTGGTATGTTAATCCGTGGATTCGTTGGGTACTCTCATCCAGAAGCCGCCTTCTAAACCTATCTGTGTGGAAACACTGAGAGCTCCTTCTGTTCGTGGCTTCGGATGACGATATGTTCTGGCGGTGGTGGATGGATGAAAGTCAATTACATTAGAGTGAAGGGGAGAGTGAGATAGGGAGTCACACTATTAGACCTAAAAAGTGGAGAAAATTAGGAGGAAGCTGCTTAGACTGTTGCCTCGTAGCAGTTTGAGTTGGACACCCCACAACTGGCACAAAGGGATTGCTTGGCAGGCTCATGAAGAAAAACGAAGAGGAAAGTATGGCTCTTCTTTTTGCCTTTTTTCCTGTTTTTTCTTCCTCCTCCTTCTCCTCTGCAAATTTAGTAATATGCTTTCGGGGAGGATGCCTATTCTGGTGCCTGGTGAAGCTCCTTTATATTGTTTGTTTTCTTGTGTGTTGTGTGTCTTCTTGTGGGGATGAAACCCTTCTTCTGGGGTGATGTTGGCTGGAACTTGGTTCAAGGCAATACAGGCCAGTCAAATCTGTACAGGTGGGTGCTGCTCAACACAGGGCATGGTAGTGGAGGAATGCCTTGTTGTAGACTCTTCTTAACTTATTGGCAGCCCTCAAAGCACAGGGTGGCTTGGGTGTGGGGGAAAGCAATTGCTGACCCATCCATCATCCCCCTGCTGCTCCCCCAATAGGAAGGGGGTGATTGCCACCAGTTTTGAAATTTTAGGTCTGACTGGACTGGGGAAGGAAGCCTAGGGCACATTGTGGTGCAGAGTTCAAGAGAAAGGCTAGTGGCACAAGTGCATAATGGAGCACACCACTGGGTGCTCTGAATATTCCAAATCTATTCAACCATCATACAAAAATAGCTTCATATTTGCAGATTCATCATGGTAAGTTACTGCTTGAATGTAGCAAAAAGCTGTGCCTAAGTCCCCTTCTCATTTGTCTTAGACCATTGCTGAGCACTTGCTTCAAGAGTGTCAATTCAAGAAACCCACTGTGTAGTCACAGTATTCACATGCCTTTACTATTTCTTGATGCATCAACAGCAGCCTTGCCACAAATTCACACCAACACACAGTCCTTGTGGCACATGAGCTAGGAGGAATTGGCAGCTAAAGTGGGTTATTGGATGGAGTCTCAAGCTGGGGATTTACTCAGTTGGTGCTTGGGCAAATGCTATGTCTAAACGCTACTAAACTAACCAACAACATGAATAGCAGGATTATGGGTAACCTAGCAAGAAGTGTATGAGTGAGTGTATATAAATATTTATTCATACACATACTTGGGAATAGATGAATGAAGGGGGATAGCAAATTGATTTCTTCTGCTTTGATGAACTGGCATGTCTACTTAATAATGGCTAGAGCCCTTGTTGATGTTTCTTAAGATGAAATACTTGGAAGCAATGCATCAATCTCCATGTAGAAAATCCAGTGGGTGTTTTGATTGGTTGAGTAACCCATTGTTAGGCCCATGATTTTTCACCACTAGGAATAAATTACAGTTGTAAACAAACCATCCTTTGAAACAGCAAAAAGTGGAGGAGGAAGGGGGGGGGGTGATATAAAAAAAGATAGTTAAGGAGGAAGAAGACATGTGACTCTCATTCATTTGCTGATATGTACATTCATGAATTCATTAAATAAATATATAAATATAAATATATATATATATAATCAAGAGGAATTGGATCAAGTGGGGGTAATGAACAGGTGAGCAAAGAGACAACAAGTCACATGTTCCTTCTATCCACACTGGTTAGGACCAAGGGCACACACAAAAGAGAAGAATCAAAGGCCAGGATTTTCAAAGGTCAATAATAATGGAAAAAGGGAGCTTGGCACTGGATTGAATATATGAAGGAAGATAGAAGGTTCTGGTGATATGCAAATTATATCACAGCACTTGGTAGAAGCCTCACCTGCAATGAGTCTCTCAAGTTGGCCAACCACATACACCACCAAAGTCTTGCAGACATGCAACCCTCATGACCAAGTTTCCAGTTAGCCCCCATTTGAGAACCGAACCGAACTAAATAGCGCGCGGGTCTGCGCACGCTTCGCCCACTTGCAACGCGGTTCGCCGCGCGGTATGCCAGTGGTCGCGACAGTGGGCCGTCAGGTCTCGCCCGCTCCACCACACCGTGCCGCTGGCTGCTGCAAGCCCAGGTACCACCACCGCCAGAGCGAACGTTCTTTAATAGCACCAGTTCTCAACGGCGTTCGCGATCAGCTCTTGGGTAACGCGGGTCCTGAGGGGAACAGATGTTCTCTTGAGTCTGCCTATCCTTATCCGTTGCAAAACAACGGGGAACGCGGTAAGGAGCGTGCAAGGGCCACCGGGAATGTGTTGCGCGGGTGGTGTGGCAGTGTTGGCACCGGTCGGCAATGGCATCGGCAGTAAGTTGGTGTGGCGAGGGAGGGAGGCGAACGGGGGTGGGGGGAGGAAGACGGGCTGGGTGGTGGTGCTCCGGGAAGCAATAGGAAGGGGATGGTATGCGAGGGGAGGGGAAGGTAATGGTTGGGTAGCGTGGTCCGGTCCAGTACTCTGCTGCGGAGATGGCCAGGGATGATGCCCGATATGGTCATTTTGATTACTGATTTTTTTTTCTTCGATTTTTCTTCGATTTTTTTTTTTTTTTTTTTTTTTTTTGTAAGTCATGGTGGCTGGCGAAGTTCTGTGGTGAAGCTGTTGATGTTGTTCAGCCTGGTAGGGGAAGCCGCACCACGGAAACTCGCTGCCGCTGAGTCCCTTTCAAGCTTCCGGTTCCGGCCCTAAGGGCCGACTGGGGAGTCTACCGAGACTGGCCTTGGTGCACACACGCAGACGTGCCACACAGACTGACGAGAGTGAGAGAGTGAGAGTGAAAGAGGAGGGTATACAATAGAAACGCAAGGTTGTGTGGTATTCCGTTTTTGTTTATTTTTTTCGTGCTGTGATGTGTAGTTTGGTGTGTTGTATGTGGATATAAGAAGCTATTGCATTGGAGAATAGATCGAGTTAGGGAGGAGGAGGAGAGATAGATCCATCAGGCATAACGGGAGGGTTTGGTGAAGGAGGAGAAGGTAGGTGAAGACAAAGGGGCGAGAGAGGTGTCAAAGTAGTGTGGAAAGATATGATCGGGAAGAAGGAGAAAATACAGAGGCTGGTGGTGTGCATGGGTGAAGGATGCCAGAGCTGCGTAGTGGAGCGCGCCAACCCCGCTCTCCACCCTTGGTGCCGGCAGTAGCTCCGCCCGCTGCATGCCCTGAGTCGGTGCCGTCAAGGCGGGCGACTCCCCGTAGACGTGTAGGTGTTGTTGGTGGAGGCGGTGGTGCAGCAGAGGAAGCTGCGGTGCCCGTCGGAAACCGGGTCAGGACGAGGGCTGCTGTCGCGAAGGAGGCAGCGGTTGTGACGACTAGGGTTGCCGGCCGCGGGAAAGGCGCTGGTGCGGGAACTGGACGGCTCACGAAGCAGACGAGGAATACTAAATCTACTGCGCTGCCGAAAGTTGCCGCTGCACCGAAGGCCAAAGCTGGTGGACGTGGCAAGCAGGTGCCTTCTAGATCTCGGTCACCAGAGCAGGAGCCTTTGCAAGATCCTTGCACTTCTGAGGATAACGTTGAGGCGTATTTAGATCTAGGGGAAGGGAAGCAAGAGGAGGCGGCGGAGGAAATTAGAGAGATGGAAGAGGAAAGTGCTGGACGAAGTGCCGAGAAGGTTGCCGGAGCAGGAGATGATGATGGCAGTGCTGCGCCTCTTCCAGAGAGGGTAATGGACATCGCTTTTGTTTCTCTCTTTCTTAGTTATTTATTTCTTGCTCACTCTTTTTTTTTGTCTTTAGTTCTGTTGTCAAAATGTATCATATGATGTCGGCTCCAATAAAATCCTGCATCCGATTTGAAGATATCTGAACCAATTGGATAGAGAACTTCGTTTTTTGAGGAATCTTTTCATTTTGTTTTTGATAATTTTTATTCTGCATTAATCTTCTTCATGGTGGAAATCCGTGTCATGGATGGACGCAGCTAACTATGATGGAGTGCGGCATGTCGTGACATTATTACTATGTGAGTTGTTACTGACCTCCTTGTATTCTGAATGCGCAGGTTCAAGTTGGTGGCTCTCCAGTCTACAAGATTGAGAGGAAACTTGGAAAGGGAGGCTTTGGTCAAGTATATGTTGGTCGTCGTCTCAGTGGTGGGGCAGAGCGCACTGGTCCACAGGCTGTCGAGGTACTCTTTACTCTAATTCGTTGAGGTCCGGTCGTGTCGTATTCCGTATAGTGCCGAGGGTTGTGATTATTTAGCGAGTATCTTTGCTTTGTGTCTGGAAGTACAAACTGAGTCTTGTTTTCGTGCTCGCAGGTAGCTTTAAAGTTTGAACATCGGAGCAGCAAGGGTTGCAATTATGGTCCTCCTTACGAGTGGCAAGTTTACAAGTGCGTCTCGAACCGACTCAGTCCTTTCTATCCTTTGCTACAATGTCATTGGAATTGCTGTTCCAATTCTAGCCTCATCGTGGAGGTTATTTTTGTGCTGTCGGGTTCAATCTAATTAGGTCATAAATGTTAATGGTGATGATAATCCTTGGTTGTTGCGCAGCACTCTTGGTGGCAGTCATGGGGTTCCTCGCGTGCATTACAAAGGCCGTCAAGGGGATTACTACGTCATGGTGGGCTATTCACAGAAAATAGATGAATTTACACATGCTGATAGATTTCTTGTCTTTGATTATTCCCGATTTGAAATTTTTGTACGAGTTCTCTTCCGAAATACATTTTATTCACCCGTTGATATCTTGTCCAGGTCATGGATATGCTTGGGCCAAGTCTTTGGGATGTTTGGAACTCTTCAGGCCAGGCGTAAGTGACGCTCTATTGACAGGCTTTTCGCTTGAATAATGTGGCCTTCGATCGACATTCAATTACTTTTTACTGTGAAACTGAAGTTCGATTATCTTTCTGCAGGATGTCCACCGAAATGGTGGCCTGTATTGCCGTGGAGTCTATTTCAATCCTTGAGAAAATGCACTGTAGAGGGTATGTGTCGTGCTGAGCTAAGCACTCCGTACTCAAATACTTTGCGTGGACATAATGTTGGAATTTTTGTGCATGTCGGTTTGCACGATAACAACTCAGGGTGAATCATTGTTAAATAGTCTGTCGTTCATTTGGAGCAGATATGTACATGGAGATGTGAAGCCTGAGAACTTTCTGTTGGGACAGCCAAATACACCAGATGAAAAGAAACTGTTTCTTGTGGATCTTGGTCTAGGTGAGTTAAGGTAATGTTGTGCTGTGATTGCGAATTTTTAATCACGTATTGATCCTGAGTTTTCCAGTAACTTGGTGTTGACGTGAGAGAACGCTTTACTCCGTAATGAATTGTGTGATGGTCAGAGGAGTTGTCATAATAAAATTTGAACAGTGAATCTAATATTGGTCGCTTTTCCACACAGCTACTCGATGGAGAGATGGTACAACTGGACAGCATGTGGACTACGATCAGAGGCCTGATGTGTTTCGGTAGGTTTTCTACCCTGTCCTGACTACAATTATGTTTTGATTGTATTTGATATTTGTTTTTAGCCTCTAGGCACCGTGGGTTGTAGCTGAAATGCTTGTATCTGCAGTGGAACAGTTCGCTATGCCAGTGTGCACGCGCATCTGGGAAGAACTGGCAGCAGAAGGGATGACTTAGAATCACTCGCTTACACCTTGGTATTCCTTCTGCGTGGACGTTTGCCTTGGCAAGGTTACCAGGTATGACTCTCTTTTGTGACTTGAGGTGGAATAACTGTAGTTCTTTGTAAGTGCGGCATTTTCTCTGTATAATGCCTTTCTTATTGGCCACCATCTGTTTCTCTAACTAGATGGATGGGTTGGGTTAACAGGGTGACAACAAGGGGTTTTTGGTATGCAAGAAGAAAATGTCAACTTCTCCAGAAATGTTGTGCTGTTTTTGTCCGCTTCCATTCAGGCAGTTTTTGGAGATGGTCGTAAACATGAAGTTTGACGAAGAGCCCAACTATGGAAAGCTTGTTTTACTTTTCGACTCAATCTTGGGTCCCAATCCCGCTGTGAGACCCATTAACACAGACGGCGCTCAAAAGGTATATCCATGAACTGGAATTTATCTTTATCTTTATACTTGTAGTTTCTGCGACACCTGTCCATGGGTTATCTTTTTATTGTTGTTTCTTCAATGACGTATTGTGTCTGCAGTGCTCTATACAGGTTGGACAGAAGAGGGGCAGAATAAGCGTGGAAGAGGATGAGGATGACCAACCGAAGAAGAAGATTCGCTTAGGAATGCCTGCTACTCAATGGATTACCGTTTATAATGCTCGGCGACCTATGAAGCAGAGGTAATTGCAAAAACAAGTCGTTACAACGATTGAGTCAGATATTATGCTGCGAGGCTTAGTATTAGTGTCGTCCTGCCTATTTGGGTTGCTTGGGGACATAACTGTTGCCGAATTTCGTGTCTCCAACTTGAACTGAACATAGTTTCCTCTGAAAACTAGCCACTTTTCTCAGCATCCTCGATCAACATATTTATTCGATTGTTGAGCTAACTGTGATTCGTTTTGCAGATATCATTACAACGTGGCTGATTCTCGCCTTACGCAGCATGTGGAAAAGGGTAATGAAGATGGCCTGTATATAAGCAGTGTGGCTTCTTGTACAAATCTGTGGGCTCTTATTATGGATGCGGGGACGGGATTCACAGCCCAAGTTTACGAGCTGTCTCATGTTTTCCTCCATAAGGTAAGTGCTCAGTGATTGTTTAGTGTTTCTGCTTGTTGTTTTTGAAGGATCTAGTTGGCCCTCTTCTTTTGTGGAAATTAACATGGTCATTGGTATTCTACAGGAGTGGATCATGGAACAGTGGGAAAAGAATTTCTATATCAGTGCAATTGCTGGAGCTAATAATGGGAGCTCTTTGGTCGTCATGTCGAAAGGTATTTTATTGGATAGTATCCTTTGATGTATATTGAATCTATTTTCAGAGTTGATCTCAAGGGTGTTTGATGATTTATTCTTATAATTTGTCATTTGGAGACCTTTTTGTGGTTTTCTGGCTCTTGTTTTACTTGTTGCATGATGTCTCACGGTGTTTATTTCTGTAGGAACGTCGTACACGCAGCAGTCTTACAAAGTGAGCGACTCTTTTCCATTTAAGTGGATCAATAAGAAATGGCGAGAAGGCTTTTACGTGACTTCAATGGCTACTGCGGGAAGCCGATGGGGTGTCGTTATGTCTCGAAATGCAGGGTTCTCAGACCAGGTGATTAAAACCGTCGATCGGTTTTTTTATTAAACTTTCATTTATTTTTATCAGCTTTATGATTTTAGCATGATCCAAAGTGTACATCAATTGAGAGACATATCGAGGACTTTGTGACCTAACACCTTAGAAGTGACGTGTTTTTGATTATGCTATTTGTTTCTCACAATGCTGCTTTCTTTTGCCTCTGCAGGTGGTTGAGCTTGACTTCTTGTATCCTAGCGAAGGTATTCACAGGCGATGGGACAGTGGATATCGCATCACATCTACTGCTGCCACATGGGATCAAGCAGCCTTTGTCCTGAGTGTGCCTCGAAGGAAACCAGCCGATGAAACTCAAGAAACATTGCGTACATCTGCTTTTCCAAGCACTCATGTGAAGGTATGCTATGGTCGATTTGCGCGTCGAATGCAAAAATATTGTAGGTTGTCGTATCGATTCCCGTTAATTTTTTGGTCACGATAATTCTGTACTGAATTGGTTCGCATTATTTACAGGAGAAGTGGTCGAAGAATCTTTATATTGCAGCTGTAAGTTACGGGCGGACCGTCTCATAAATCCCTTTCGCTGCAGTCAAGTAGCTTAAATGACTTGTCGCCAGGATCTTGACAAGAAAGATAACATGACGTCTACAACTTTCTGGCTTTTGTGCCTAATTGGCTTATCTTGTCGCCTTTACTTAAGTGGAAGGTCTTGCGGCTTTGGAGCTGTACCTTTGCCCGCTCTCTCTTCCCCCGTCCCCACGTTGAGTTGAGGAGAACAGGTGCAATGAATGCAAAAAGGGAGGAAGATAGGTGCTCTAAGTTATCCAGATTGTTTGTTGGAAGACTCAAACTGAATTGCAGGCGAGGGAAAGGTAGCGAAGTTATGGTGCGATCGTTTTCTACCAGGTCGATGTTCAAGACAGATGTGGTCTTTGCCTGAAAGAAGATTCGTCGTTATCAATACCAAGGTTATTCCACGCGAGGCTGGTCTGATTTTTTTACATTTTCCTGGCTAGGTTGAGCTGATCAAAAATGTGCCTACTGTTGGCCATCGAACTTTTGCGGGGATGTAGTAATGGGATGATAAGATTCTGTATTTTGCACTCAGCTTTCGTTGGGTATAATATAGGCCAAATTGTTCAATATTCCTGGGGGAAGTTTTCTGGGGACTGCACCCTGGACCAGGTTTAATGTTCGAATTCCCCGAAGAGTTTTTCATTCTTGAACGAATGTTTATTTTAGCCTTGACATTATGATTGTTTTTTTAGAGTGGGCCTGTGCTTGAAAATCCTTGCCGTATTGATCTTAGTACGGATAATTTTTATTTGCATCTCTCTCTTCGACCTTGGAGGATTGTTAGTGCAATCAAATGAATATATGCATTCTTTGGCTGATGGCAAAACCTGTTAGTCATGATACTAATCTTGTGATCAGGATCAAGGGAATGTTGGCGTTTGCCGATCTGCATTGATTTTAAAATTGTCATTCATGCTTGCTTCCGCTGGAATTGTCGAGGGTTTTAGATGCTGAACCTGATGAATTTCTCACTGTAACATGCGTTGCCATGCTTCGACTTTCCCATTGGCCACTCAAAATGCCTTCTGAAGTCGAGCCATGTCAACTCATTTACTGCTGAACAATTAATAGAAACTGAGTCTCCTCAGAATACAACGAAGTCAGGTTTGAAGAGTTAAACTGCACTTGGTTGAAACAGATCTGTACTGTATGAAGAATGTGCAAGCAAGTATGATAAAGGGTGTTGCTAACGTCACCACAGTGTCCAACATCGCAATGATAACGCGCTTAATTGGACTCAAACACATGTTTAAAAGAATGTTGATTTCATTCAATGTGGTGAGATGTGCATCAGCAGTATTTCTCGAATTTGTTCACAACACAAATTTAGGGGATTTGTGGTGGCATTAACAAACACTGTGACAACATCTGGTGGATGGCAAATTCTGGAATCGGAGAGATTGCTCTTTTTGGAAACAGCGAAGACGAGAGACTCTAGGTCGTAGTTCTGTTTCTCAATGAAAAGGGGTTTTTCAACTTCACTCCATTCTGCTTTAGCATTTGAGCAATAAAACCTCATAGCTCACTTCAGCTGGTTCTAGCACTCGCAATAAATTGTGCCTTCATTTCGTGCATTAACTATTCCATCATTCTGTTATTCATTTTGTGTGTGTCTGTGTGTGTGCTGCCATGGACTCTTTAGCAAATTGCTTCCTTGTCCCAGGGTTGCAGTCGATCGATGGATTGCTCGCCGATTTCATGGAACCTGCGAGGAGCAAGTTTTGCAGCTGACACGATGCTGCAGCTGAAGCATCAAGGGAGAGTCTGGCATTCTTCCCAATGCTTCGAAAGGCGTCCTGATATCCGAGAGCACAAATGACCGAGAACTTTCGATGTCAACAGTGGAACATCAGCGCCATATTCTGACCAGTGCCCTCGAAGAGGAGTCGAGGTAGCAACTACGACAGTGCCTCGGGTTTTGTTACGAGATCTGGCTGGAGTCTAGAGGAAGGTGAAGCGGAAGGATCGCCGTGTCCGGACCCCATTAAGGACCTTTTTCTGGCTTTATTCAGAATGGAAGGCACAAAGCCCAGCTACTCATTCGTGCCGCGTCGGATTCCCCTCTGCCTCAATTACCTTGCGTTATCGATTCACCGAACTTTCTAGATTGAAATGAGCGAAGGTTGGATAAACACTTGGGAATACACGCCAGTGGTTGTAGTGAATTCCTTGAGCTTGTTCCCAAACGAACGCTCGAAAACAACGACCACAAATATATACAGTCGTGTTCATTTTTTTTTTTTTTAAAATTTTAAAACTTTTCCCTGAACTAAACCCAATTAAGATTCCAGCCGTGTTATTTTCCACAAGCTCGTGATCTCAGTGGCTTGTCTGTGCTTATCACCGTAAGAGGTGGGCAGTTGCAATCCAATTCGGGATCTACTCGTCTGGGTAACGTATTAGTGATTGACTGGGTGGTTATTCCAACGGGGTCAAATTTCGTATCACCGAATTATACCTCCACCCGCCATTTCTCTATCGTTCCTCCCGCCGGTTCGCTCGGAACCTTTTAGGAAGCATCGAACGAAGCACCCGTGACAATCGGCCAACTCGGGAGACTCTGGACTTTTCTCCTCTCCCTACTTAAAGCGATCATCCAGTAATCATCCTTCACAACATTCTACACTCTGTCTTGTCTTCTGCTGTAGCTCTCTGAATCTCAACCATCTCAATCGCATCCACTGTTACAAACTGTGAACTCGATAGGTTTCTCGGCTTTTTGTTTTGGGAATCGAGTGCTTCTGCTGTCTATCTCTACCTAGGTCTACTATGGCGATTATTGTTCATGGCGCTGGGTTCTCGACCTGTACCCAGCGAACCCTCACGACACTCGCGGAATTGAATGTTAATGACTACAAGCTGGAGTTCGTGGACATGATGAAGGGCGTCCACAAGAGCCCAGAGTTCTTGAAGAAGCAGGTAATAAGTCCACTCGGGGCTTAAATGCAGTACGTACTAGTTGTGGCATTATTACTGTTGATTGACTTCCCGAGAACCGTAATGTAGCTGGGTAATCAAGGGGGCGAGTGATTTCCAATGCCTAGCCTGATCTTTGTGTTGCGGGTCCAACAGAATCGGTGTCGAGCTTTCAGGACATTGCATTGTTGTTGTAACGGGGACATATTGTTGGGCTTTCACTTCCAACCTGAATGAAACTTATTCAAATAACTAATGCGATCTATTTGAACTTGTGCAATGGCAGCCTTTCGGACAGATTCCTGTTCTTGAAGATGGAGACATACAAATTTTCGGTACGTTATCCAACCAGAACGCTCCTGAGGCTAGTTAGCTGTTTTGAAGCATGCATTGGTTCATGCAGGTTGATTTGATGTGTGCCACAGACTCCAGCTGTAGGAGACGAAATTCCGCTGATTTTACTCGAGCCTTGACGAGATGTTTTCTTTTGCGATGTGCAGAGTCGCGCGCCATTATCAGGTACCTTGCCGAGAAGTTCGAGGGACAAGGCACACCATTGTTGGGAAAAACGGTAAAGGACAAGGCCCTTGTTAGTCAGTGGCTGGAGGTCGAATCCCAGAATTACAATCCCCCTACTGCGCAAATTGTATATCAAAGAGTTTTCTCGAGCATGTTCGGTTCTAGCTGCAACGAAGATGTGGTAACTGAGCAAGTGGCCAAGCTTGAGAAGGTACTGGACGTGTATGAAGCTCATCTTTCCAATAACAAGTATCTGGCGGGTGACTTCTTCAGTCTTGCTGATCTTTCTCACCTCCCTTACACCTACCTGCTTGTGAACGCCGCCGGTAAAAGCGATTTAATCACCTCTAGACCTCATGTATCTGCTTGGTGGAACGACATCTCCTCCCGTCCCACTTTTCAGAAGGTGCTCGGCATGAACGAGTTCAATAAGAAGGAGTAGACTTCATCAATGTCTCAGTCTACACACCAGAGTAGATGATAACCGCGAATTCACGCTTGTGATATACATGTGCAACATATTCTCACTTGTAAATCCAATCATGTAATAAAAGTGAATTTCGAAACCAGACTTAGATTATGTTATGCCCCATTTGGAACGCCGAAATCTTATTTGTGTCTGCCAAATTCGTAAATTTGTTAGCACAAGGAGCAATCTTACGAACGAAAGAGTGAAAGCACCATTTTGTCATCTCCAGACAACTGGGCAGCTGGATTTATCACAGCAAAACAAATTCCCTCAATCTTCGACTTTTGGATAAACTTCACAGTTTGCTACGGTAATGCAGTGACAAGAGAGGAGCAGAAAACTTTGAAGTAGTCATTAGCCGAAGTTTGTCACTCTGCGAGGGAGAATAGTTTCGAAGTTGGGGACTGATGCTTTGCATAGTAAATGATGTCATAGTCTTCAAACTTCAAGTGAGAAAAAAGTGCTACATGCAGTGTTCAGGAGCTTTTTCCGCTTTTGCACCATGAGCTTTACTGTAGCGCGCCGGGACAAACTCTCATGGTTTTCCTTCCTTGAACATCTCATGTGATCTGCAAGATTGCATACCTCGGGAGTGGGCCCAATGGTTGGTGTTCCAGAAGCTTTGCGATGCCGAGTCCTGTGTGTATAATTCTTGCCATTCTTTAACGTGATGAGATCGAAGTAATTGCATTGCTTCCCCAGAGTAGATCGTTACTCTTGTAGTCAGATGAAACAGTTTGTGTCGACCGAATGCACTGAATAGCTGGTTTGGAGGCATGTAGAATTGAAAAAAAAACTATTGTTTAAACATGTATCCTTGGCATTATCAGGTGTTACGTCTATTAATTTGAGATTATATTTGGATCATAAAATTTTGGGAGAAAGACAACTTGTTTGTAGATGTCAATCTTAAAATGAACGCGAATGGGATGATTCTGAGTCCAAGATGAAGTTCAATGTATTGCAAAAGTTGAGCAAAGTGATTAGTCAATTGGTTTATACGATCTTATTTTATACAAAGTTAAAAATTATTGTAGAGAATTATTGATATTATTGTAGAGAATTATTGATATTACTATAAAAACAAAAATTTATAGAAGTTTTATTAATACACTAATATAAATTAGAAATTTATGATAGCTATAAATCATCTTTCTACTTGTGAATCTTCCTCAACTTTAAATTTATGTAAAATAAAGATAACGTTGAAGATTTAAATTTAAATTAATAATATTTTTTGAATTTTTGAAATAAATTTAAAATTAGTGTATTTATAAATTAATAAATTTAGGGAGTTGTCTAAGCTACACCTTCAAACTATATTATGATTAATTTTGGGGGACATGGAACAAAAGATTTGGATAGGTAATAGGGATAGGGGCTACAAACAAGAGACAAGTGACATAGAACAATAGAAAGAGACGGGGGATGGATGAAATCAATCATGAGATGGTAATATGGAATGTGGCTTTAATAACTCTCTAAATTTATTGTATTATTATATACATTTTATTAATATAATATGCTAATTATTTGTAGATTGTTGTATCATTTACAATTATTTTTTATATGATTTATTTTAACATTAGATCTGAAAAAATATGTTCTTTGACAAAATTTATATTTTAAAATCAAGCAACATGATAAATTATAATCTATGACAAACTAGTTATGTCTTTTGCTATTTTGTATCAAATATTTTTCCATTTACTAGTCAAAGAGATTATTTTATCTACAAAATTTTCTATTAGATTTTAAGTTTGTACAAATGTTTTATTACATTTAGAAGTTGAAAAAATATTGACTAATTATTAACATTTTCTTCAATTAATTTTAATGAATTAATTTAAAGGTAGATCAATCTTCCATGTACTTGGCACTTTACACATAAAATAACATGTAATATAAAATTTGTATTGTAATATAAAAAATCATATATAGTATTTGATCCTTACTAGAATTTGTCAAGAATTTATATAAAATTTGTAAAGACCACTACATATTGTAAAAATCCTAATTCTTTGATCTTTTGCCTATATCAGCTATCAATCACATTAACATCAATGAGTTAATATTTTTAAATAAAAATATTGTGATACCAAATTTTGATTTATTTATTATTGTCAAATATTCAATAAATATTGGTTAAAAATATGTACCTTAAAAATCTCATGCCAAAAAAATGGTGATATTAAAAAATAAGTTAAAATTTGTATTTTAGAAAAACACGATTATACTTGGATTAAAAAAATTCTTCATTTTCATATACTCATTAATCAAAATAAATTTCAGTTGGTGTATGGTCCTATTTATATTAATTTTTGTAAAATTAATGAAATATTTAAACCAAGTAGTTGCATAACTATTCAAAGAACTAATTGCAACAGGGGATTTTTATTTTTATAAATAATAAGTTTATTTATCTTTGTTACTATACATAAAAACTTCATAAACTTAACACTTCTATTTAGCATTTGACAATATTTTTTGACAATATCTAATAACATTCCTATAAGAACTTCAAACTGTGTCTTTATTCAATGTTAAATTTTCTTAGATTTAATAAGAGATTTGAGTTATGTAAAAGTTCACATGATTTTAG